GATTCCTAATAATGATTTAAAAATCTTTATTTCAAGATTTTAATCGCTTTTTGACATTCCTTTGTCCACCATGGTACAATCTTACTTTTATGCTTACCTGACTTTTTCTTTACCGATTTCTCTGCAGCCTGTAGAACAACTCTATAAAATTAAACACTTACATTTTCAACATCTTAATTTCTATTCATTTTTTTCATTTCTTGATCACTAATATTCTTAAATTTTTTACCAATTAGCATTACTAAATGACCATTTATTCAAACCTACCGTTTCATATTCCTCTAGACTCAATCCTGCTATTGTTACTATAGTATAATGGTCACTTCCTACTGTTGATCCTCTGACTACAAATGTACAAATTCCTGATAATGAATTTGATACTAATGTGAGATCAACCCTTTTACCGTTTATTGTTCTCATCAGTCTCTTAATTCTACTTGCCTCCACTAATACTGTGCTTTAGTTTGTCCAGGTCTTCTTCTGCAGGTATCCCTGTTATCACCCCCATTGTAACTCTACTCTCACCCACAGTCTTTTTCTCACTAATTATTTTCATACACACTTTCAACTTGCCAGGCTTTGTTTTGCTGTTCCTCTGTTTTGCATGTTATCAACAGGCTTCTGTCTCTGAAAATCTTCGCCATTTCCACATCTCCCAGCTTCTTTTTCAACTCCCTGGATACTGCTATCGGACATAAACCCACATTCTCATCTTCTTTTCTAAATTTGAAGATGATTTTACATTCTTCTCTTGCAGCTCTTTTCTGCACAAACCCACTGCCTTCATCAGAACTTCCAAACTACGTTTACTTCCTTGACTCAACATCCACCCTAAATCGCGTCTCCTATTTGCCCCTGCTCCTCTTCTCCTGTTACCCACGGGTGTCCAGTCGCCAGAGTCCATTTCCCCGAACCAGTTTATGCCAACTGCTATCGATCTTCTCTGTTAACTGCCTCCTGTCAAAAACATTTCCTCATTGTCGGCCAGTCGAAAAGAAAACCAGACTATCGGCCTCTGAACCGAACCAGTAGAGGGTGAGCGAATACCATCGCCAGACTCCCTTCTTCTTCTTCCTGTGTTTTTTGGTGGTTGGCAAACCACTTTTGGTGCATTACCGCCATCAACTGAAATGGAATAAGGATCGCGTATGAACTAATACAATATCCTACAATTATTTCTACAAAAGAAAACTAAAAACTAAATCCTGTTTATCAAATTAGTCTTTTTTAAGATATCTCAATAATAGAGACTAACCCTCTGATTTACGGTCCATGTCCATTGTTCCTTCTTGAAAAGAAAAATCCCATTTCTGTGTATCATGTTTCCCTAATTTAATTAAAGCTCTATTTAAACCTGTGGGATCAAATAGTATGGAGGACCAATCCTGCCATAATTATAAATAAATACAGGAATAGATAAATGCCCCAAAAATAAATAAGCATGCAGTTAATTCCCCCCTAAAAATACCACAAACAATTACATTTTGATAGAAATTAAATTATACAGTGAGAGATAAATGTATTCAAATGTATCTCTTTTAATTAGCTTCTTTCTTTTTTTCCTTTGTAATTAATTTACTTATTTATTGCCCGTTATAATCTTCAACTTTATTTATTTATTACTTATTTTTTTAAGTATTTATTTTTGTGCATGTAATAACATTTTTGTGTGGTTTATTCTTCCTTTGTGTTTTTTATCCTATTTATTACTTCAACACTATATTTATTTCTGCCTGTTGTATGTACATTTCTGTCTGCATTCTGCCTCATTATGCAAATTAGGAAAGGTGTGTCCTAGAGGGTCACCTTCTGCCCATTGGTTGGTTAGCAGCCTTTCCTCATAATTCCAACTTTTTAACACCATCTTCCACTTCTTTCTTCTTCACAATAATTCTGCCATCTTGCTCTAACCTTTAGCTTAATTACTGATTTCATTTCACCTTTAGTAAATGGTTTTATTATATAAATGTGACTGCTTTTAGTAGCTTGTTTTGCATATTTCTCAGCATCTCATTCCCTTCTATTCCTATATGAGAAGGAATCCATATAAAAGAAACTATTAATACCATGGCTTTAATTAATTGCTAAATTTCTAATTAGATATCAGGTCTGCTGTCTGAATGATGGAATGAATATAACGATGAACTAGAATCAGGACAAACTAAACCTCTGAGTGGATGGATTTCTTCAATCCATTCTAAATACAGTATATCACAAACATTTCTCCTCTGTTCCCTAAAACTCCCTCACTGATTCTTTGACCTGATTTAAAATTAAATTCTGGAACTACAAACTAAACACCATTCCTGTTATTGAATCTTTTGATGCATCCATATAAACTTCAACAAATCCAAATCCAGGTATTTTGTATCTAAATATTGCTGAACCAAACTCCTTGTTTTTCCATTTCAACCAATATCAATAGCCAGAGGGTGACCAGGATGTAGATGTAGCTGCGCATGCGCAATGAGCTGCTGGCAGGGATCGGGTAGCATTAGTAGCATTAGCTTAGCTTGTGTGTGGAGTCATTGTAGAGAGGCTGATAATCTGGGAGTGTTTGCAGTGAGAATGTCTTCAGTCCAGCTTCAAGGAGAGTTTATCATCGAGCAGTTAACTCCTGCTGAGGAAACATTCACGGAGTTTAAAGGGAGTTTGGTCAATTCGGAGGAAAAGATGGACGATCAACATCTACTGCTGGATTTCACCAGGATCCCCCAGATCATCTTACACCGGATAGGTAGGAAACACCTGATAGAAACGATTCCCTGATTATGCACACTGTGGATTTTAGCATCATCTGATTGGAAAACTGCTTAGAGGAGATCAAGATGCTAAGCTAAAGCTAACTTCCGGCTGGCGGCCATCTTACAACGGTCAGCTCGCTCACTTCCAGCATTGGGGTTTAATAACTGCGGTCTAGTTAGTAATTTGCTCCTGTTAAACCTGTTCTTCGCTCCGAATTCACTGCAATCGGAGAAAGCCGTCGCTATCATAGACATAATATAAGAGCGGCGCAGAAAATTACGGCCACCATCTTGGGGAGGTCATCCTGCTTCGCTAACCTGCTGCTTTAAGCAGAACAGTAGAAGGATGCCTCAGCACTGCAGCGTGTTTTTTTTAAATCAGCAGACTGTTGACATCAGGGCTGGAGGGAGAACTTCATGAAGGCATCAGAGCTTTGGAAGACATCACTAAATAAACAGCAGATATACACTACATAGAATAGAAACTCCCACAGTGGGGAAATAGTGGTGATACAGCAAAAGTGGTCACACAATTTGGACCTAACAAAGTGCATAATAATAGAATAAGTGACAGTTAAAAAAAAAAAATCTAATTTTATTTGTTCAGCAAATAAAAACAACCACAGCCAACCAAAGGGCTAAATGTTTTAAGTAAAATAGTATACATAAAAACAAAGCAGCTAAAACATGGGTAAAAGTAACATTCACATAAATATATAAAGAATAAATAAATTACTGTTTTGTACAGTGTTTTTACAAATGTAAACACTGTGCTTCTGAAGAATAGATAATCAATATCAATGTATATTTGTGCATACCTGTATAAATGTTTCTGTATGTAGTAATAAAAATGTATGAGTGGCTGTGCTTGGCAAGAAACATAGATCCTATCAGAAAATTCTATTACTCTTAACCCCACTAAGAATATTTAAATGCACTGAACCATTTGTTTATTTTCTGCAAAAAAAAAAAGAAAATGTGTAAATTAGTTCAATATTCAGCGAGTTCCTAAAATGTACACATCAATATTATTAAAACTGCTAAGAGATTTAAATGCAAAAATAAAAGCAGTAACTTTGAAGCAAATAAAGAACTATGATCAAACACTGATATTGACCATGATGCTCTTAAGCTAAAATTCTAAAATTTTAGACTCAACCAACAGAAAACTGTCATTCCCATAAAAGATAGAATAACATCTGTGGAGCTACATTGTCGACATAAAGTTTCTTGAAATGAAAAGAAATCAACTAAAAAAACACATTTTCCAACTGAAATGAGATTTAAATCTAAGCATATCCATCTATCTTCTCTGGCTCATCAGGCAGTCTCACTGTGGGGCTGGTGCCTGCCTCCAGCACTCTGTCTCTGCCTTCATATATGCAATGTTGCCCTTAAGCTTCCTTCTCTTGTTGCTGAAACCAAATAGTTTTTCATTAATGACAAGGAAAAAAAATTCTGAGCCAACTACAGAGAAAGTTTTAATGACAAGGTGAATGATGCACAATTCTGAGTAAACCTTCATGTCAATTCTGTAGCTTAGTGGTCTAATGAAAAGACTATCCAAATGGTAAAGATTACTCCTTTAAGCTCACACTATAACAGAAACAGATGACTGATTTTATAAAGAAAAATGTGTTTAAATAAACAGTGAGGCTTAAACAAGTTTAAACAACTTTTATGTATAAATAAATAAATAAAAACTGAGGAAATTATATTCATCATGTTAAACACCCAGTAGTGGTCGCCCCACATGATCCTCGCTCACTCCAGATAAAAAAATTTAAGTTCACTTAAATATTAAAACCTAATGTTTAGCTACAAAAATCAAGCTCAGTACTTCTCATGTCTTTGCACTATTAGATTGATAATCAAAACATAGATCTACATTTAAGTTAGTTGGATACTGATATTTCATTGATGATCATGTACATGTACATACATCATGTATTCTATGATGGAAATAGACGTACAGATGCTTATTTTATCAATGAATGTAAAATAAGATTGGATGAACTGGAAAAATGAAAGAAAAACGTGTTGTCTTCAGAGGTAATCTAAAGGTTTAAAGATAAAATTTGGGTCCAAACCTGTGATTGTAATGTCAGAGCTGCAGTGCATGCTGGGAGATGTAGTTGGATAAAAAAAGGATGATTAAAGAGAAGTGTCCCTTATTTAACCACCAATAGAAAGTCTTTCTGCTGTGTTTGTCTCTCCAGACCACCTGCAGGATTATGTTGGAAAAGAGGAGGATTTCTCTGACCAGCAGGAGAGGGATTCCAGTTTGGACCAAGAGGAACCAGAACCTCTGCAGATAAAAGAAGAGCAGCAAGAACCAGAACATCCCTGGACAAAAGAGGAAACCATGGAGATCCTCATTAGTGAGCAGGAAGAGCAGCTTGTTCTGAAGCAGGAGGCTGAAGATAAAGAAGAGGAAACTTTCCCATGTTTGACATGTGGTGAAAACTTTCTTAAAAACGAACATTTAATGGATCACATGAGAACCCACACAGGCGAGAACATTAATGAAAGTCTGTCCTCTGGAAAAAGTTTCTCTCAGAAATCAAATCTTGTTACACACACCAGACTTCCTACAGGTGAGAAACCATTTTCCTGTTCTATTTGTAACAAAAGGTTTACTTTAGAAAGTAATTTGACCAAACACACAAGAGATCAGACTTGCGAGAAGCCTTTTGAATGTCTGTCCTGTGGAAAAACCTTTATCTTTAAATCTGGACTTAATGAACACATGAGAATTCACACAGGTGAGAAGCCTTACTCCTGTACTATTTGTAGCAAACAGTTTACTCTAAAGGGTAATTTAACTGAACACATGAGAATTCACACAGGTGAGAAGCCTTTCGAATGTCGTTCCTGTGGAAAAAGCTTTACTCAGAAATCTCATCTTAATACACACCTCAGAACTCACACAGGTGAGAAGCCTTTTTCCTGTATAATTTGTGGCAAAACATTTACCACAAAAAGTCATTTGACTTTTCACATGAAAACTCATTCAGATGAAAGACATTTTTCTTGTTTGTTCTGTGGAAGAAACTTTAATCAGAAATCTCATCTTGATAGACACGTCAGAATTCACACAGGGGAGAAACCTTTTTCCTGTACAATTTGTAGCAAAAGTTTTACTAGAGAGGATAATTTGACTCAACACATGGCGATTCATGTGAGACCAATTTTTCCTCAATGACAAATGAAACAAATAATACTAAAAAGAGAGAGATATTGCTTCACATAAGAAACCACAGGAATGAACAGTAGAGGTGTTTTCCATGTTTTACTTGTGATAAAATGTCCATCTAGAAACTCCTTCACCTCATTACATGAGAAGCTGACTGATTAAAAGCCTTTTTCTAGCTAAGGTGTCATTTTCATTCTTTTTCATTTTGTTCTTTTCACTTCAGACATTTTTTTTTTTTACTTGATGCAAATTATTATTTTCTGTGGTGGAAGTTTCCCTTTAATTCAATAATTTCTATATTGATATAGTGAGTAGAAATAACTTAATTTATTATAAAATATGTATTGTTTCATTTAGGTTACAAATGATCTTTTTTCATGTCTTTTTTTCTGATATTTACATACAACCTAAAGCTGTAATATAAATTGTTTAATGGTATTAAAATGTTCAGATGATGATTTAGGGAATGTGTCTTCCTTTGTTTTCTGTGGTAATTGTTTGGCAAATTTAAATATTTCATATTTAGTTTCTAGCTCTTTGAAAGAAAGTTGGAGTTGGCAGGTAAGACTTTAAAGAAAATGTGAATACCTGATGGACCAATAAAGTCCATCTTGAACCATCAGCGGTTATGATGTGTTTCTTTGTTATGAGGTTAATGCGGAGCCATCAAGTCATCTCTATTTCATGTATTTGTTCTGTCACTGAACCAGGTGAGTCGAATCTGCACAGTATATTAAACTGTGAATTGAAAGATATTAAAGATTTTTCTTTAGGTCACCCAGAGGTCCCTTATCCACCCATTAAGCTCTGAATTGAATCAAAATCGTCTAGCCTACTTTTTCAGTGCTGCTTCATTTGTACGGGTAAAACTGTCATTGTGCTGATCTGGTTTTTAAGATAAAAATATCTTTAATTATGACTGATGATGTCATTCTCCCAGCTGACGTTAGTGCTGCGCTTGTTTCTTTATATAAACTTATTGCCTAAGATCACATGTCATACTTGTGCTGGTACTTAATATAACAGTGGGAAAGTTTACCTCATTTAGTGGCTGGAATGCTTTTGATCTACCGTTACCCCTGGCAACCCCATGTCATTTCCTTTCAAGGTCTCACTATTTGTGAAACTTAACATCACGGACTGCTGCTAAATCTTTCCTTGTAAAAAAAACAAAAACTTGAATTGTCTTGGGGAGACCATCATTCTTGGGATAAGCCCCAAAAGCTTTGAAAAAATGTCCTCTTTGGTTCATCCAGATGCAGCTCTGATTCGGTGGGACTTCCTGATAAATCTACCCCCTCAGAAAGCACAGATACTGGGCAGTGGGCAGTGACAGATGGGCTCTGTGCTGGAGGTGATTGGGGACGTGCAGTGTTTCTATGACTAAAGTAAAATGGCTTTTTTTTTTTTAAGCCACATAAATATGGGGGAGTGTTGGCCTAGTGGTTAGAGCAATGCACTTGTTCTCTAAGAAGTTTGCAAGTACCCAAGTCTATCCCCAAAGTCTCCACTCTTGGTCCCTGACCCTTAACCCCACACTGCTCCCTGGGTGCCACACAATGGCAGCCCACTGCTCCCCTAGGGAATGCAGAGATGCAATTACAGTTCTATTATTATTACTATAAGTAGTAAAAATATTTCTACCATTGTTAATATTATATCTGTATTCCATTTTAAGTGAAAAAAGCGTAGCCTTCATCCTGTCTCTGATTGGCTGCCTAGTGAATTAATAGGAAATTGCTGCTGTTTGACTACAGCTCTGCTCTATGTAGTAGCACAAGGTAACGGCGGAGCAATGGGCGCTCTCAACGTGTGGAGTTTACAGTTTGCCGCTTCATCGACCTTCACTGCGCGGTTTGTATAGGGATTCTATGTGAATGCACTGCACTCAGTGTTGTCACCACCTTTGGTCTAAACGCGCCATGACAGATCTATATAGATAGATGGATCGATCTAAATTTGAAGATTTTAGACTTCCCATCTGAGTTGGTGTTAATAACTGTCAACCTGTGTAGATCAGACATTTTGTGTGAAACAGCAGGTGCAAATCCGGTGCCATGGCTGGGTAGAGGTACCAGACAACCTGCCGCTGATTTCAATAACTTGCCACGGTGATGAAGCGGGTACCAGGCAGCCCCAATGTCTTTTTTTGTATCCTCAAAATGACTTCTGGGGATACAGTTATATTTCCCAGAGAATGCTGATGAAGATTATCAGTCATCCCAGTCATTAAAAAAAAAATGTAAAAAAAAAAAAAAAAAAAATACAAACCTCTGGACTTTATTGTCCACGCTTGAAAATTTGGAAAACAAAATAGTTTTTTTTTTTCCACTTTTTTGGAATTTCTTAGAGTGCTTAATATGGTCAACCGAGATCAAAATGAAACCCTTAAGGCCATGCAGAATTGGGAGGGTAATTAAGATGACAGCTCTCCAGCCCGAAATTTTTACTTTTGTTTTTAAAAAGAAAAATAACTACAAAAATTTCTGCTCTGTTTTTCCAAGGTTTGAGAAACAATAATTAAATTGTAGTAGCCAATGTGCAAACACTTTCTGTGCCTTTTCCAATAAATTCTGGAAAAGGAGTACCGGCGTCTTTTTAAGTGATTTTTTTTCTTTTCTGTAACAACTCGCAATAAGCTCTTAATAAGCTGGCTATTTGTGCAGTGAGTCTTTGCCGTCCTTTCAGCACGTCATATACATAAAATGCTATTAGAACATATAGTTTACATCAGCAGTATACTGTCACTTCACATTCTGGGTCTAACAGTTTTTATTAATTGAAAAATGACACCATCAATAGAAAGTAATTATTTATTTACTTATTTACTAAGTATGTAAGTATGATTTGCCAATAATCAGCATTACTTAAACGAAAACTGCAGCCACCACCGTGGGCTGTTGACACTTTTACAGCCGGTCTGGCATCTTGGTAGCATCCTGGCATACTCTGGCATTATCGTGGCATCTTCGTGGTACCCAGGGGCCACTGACTTCATAAGTGTGCCAGCGGATTCATTTGATTTGTTTCATATTGCCACATTTGTTTTTCTTATTACAAGTCAAACCATTCACACAATTAGTTACCTTATAACTTTTTTATAAAATAAAAAAGAGTTTATTAAATAATGGGAATTTATTCATTTATTGGACATAAATATAGAACAGGCATTAAATCACCCCAAAATCAAACCGTTTGCCCGTAAACAGCAATAGAAATGCAGCATGTGGACTGTTGGCTTAGTAACACCTTGTAGCAGCTGTAGTGGCATCCAGCTGCCACTAGGTGCCAGTGGACCTGCCATTAGTTATGGAGGCTGGACTGCTGGCATTGTGACAGGTTGTGGTAGGTGGTTGGTGGAAGTTCCACAAGCTTTTATCAGAAATAATATAAATAAAAGAATTATTTCGAAGTAGTCATAAAATAACAGGTGTACTGTGCAGCAACAAGCCTGGAAGTTTTTTTTTTGCCGTTGCATGACAGTTAGAGTGCCAACGGAAGTGTCACTATTAGATCCAACTGCCACTGGAGGAGCCACTACCAGGTGCTGCTGCCTTGAAGTGATCCCGACCCTGCTGCATTTTTTCTAAGATAGGATTAAAAGCTGCATTCAGGCCATCACCTTCAAAGTCAGCATGAATGTTAAAATCCCCCGCTATAAAGACCTTGTCAGTATTTTATACTAAATAAGATAGTAACTCAGAAAACTGATATAAAAATTGAGAATAAGGACCTGCTGAGCAATGTAAAGTTGCAAACAGAAGAGTTTCTGTAGCTTTACAGTTTTCGGGGGTGCGTGCGTATATAGGGTTTAAACGTTTAAAGGAAATGTAACTATTAACTGACTTTAGACTAATCAATATGTCAGACTGAAAGATTGTTGCTACTCTTTCTAATCTCCATAAATTTCTGGGCATATGAACACATACTTGGAGGGAGTTACTTAATCCTTGTGTTGGTAAATCAATTTATTGCAGATAAGCAGATAAAGAAATCTACTAACAACATTTTTAAAGAGAGAAATCTTATGTTTTACTAACTACATTTAAATGTATTAACATTTTTTTTAAACATTTTATTAAAATGGTGAATGGGAAAAGAGCAAAGATCTTCTTGGTGGAAGCTGTGACAGTCTCGTAACTCTTTCCTCCCCTTGTATGGCTCATATTTGTTAATATTTATTGCCCATTTAATCATTATTAACAACTATTGTTAGGGGGATAGCTTATTGTCTTAGAGCATGTACATAAGAAGCAGACCTGAGGGGTGATTCAATTCAGTTTATTTACATAGTGCCAATTCACAAAACATGTAATTTCAAGGCACTTTCAGAGACAATAAAGATACAGTCATATTGATTAGTTTTCTATCCAGGAAAAACTAGCCTGATGGGTTACATTAAGTTTTATTACAATTTAAACAATATATTTTTTCTTTTATAATAAAATAAAATTGATATGTCTTCAATTGCTTCCAGGTCATATGTCCCACTGACTCTAAATCTGTTTTAAATTGTTCTACTACATTATCCTGATGAGGCACACTAACTTTTATTCAATTTTAAGCCTTTTTATATGTCATTTATATTATTTATATATTTTTTATATTTCTTTAATAGCTTCCAGGTCATGTAACCCAGTGACTCCAAATACATTAACCTGATGGGGCGACTCATTTTTATTCAATTTTAAGTCTTTGTATATTTTAATATTTTTCTTCTACTTGTTCAGGTCATCTGATGTGGGAGGTTTGTGTTTTTGTTGATGAAAAAAAACCCTCTTTTTATTTGGACTATAGTTAAATTAATAATTGAGATCAGGCTGTTTTACAACCATGTCTTGTTGAGATTAATGACATGATGGATTTCCAGGTGGATCTCACACCTTTAGAAAAGATTACATGATTGTTACCACATATGTTAACAGTTTTGAGAACAGCATATCTCAAAGTAATGTTCATGTCAACCATTGAATCAAATTCAGAACAAAAATATTTATCAAATTATGCTCAAATTAACTGAGATCATATCACCTCTCTATTTCTTACCTAATATTTGTATCACTGAAAGCTTTACCCTCCTCTACATCACTGTAGACAAGGATTTAAATGTTGTTACTCATGTTACTTTTCCTTTTTAGGTTTCTTTCAGTTCATCACTACACAAGCCAGAACAGTATTCTTAATGGATCCATACAACTGTCATCAATTCAAATCAATTCAGTTTATTTATATAGCCCCAATTCAGATCATGTTATTTCAGGTCGATTTACAAAGGCAATTCAACCAGATCAACCTGTCAAACAGATACAAAGTTTAACCCAGCTCCCATAGCAGAGGATGAAGAGAGCACATCCAGTTAATCACAGTCAGAGAAACAGTACTACACTGAAAAACAGGCCAAACTCCAATATCTATATACAAAGGTGTTGATGGCAGCAGCACAGCTGATATTTCTCTCCAGGATGGTGAGCCAAACAGTAACAGACATGAACAGACCAGATGTCGCTACAATGGAAAAAAGCAGAGAGAGAATAACATTAGAGATTGAACTAACAAATTCTACAGAATGGGAATATAGGAATAGAGAAAGAATGAAGCAGAATGATTAAAAGGGATCTCTATGTCCTCTAGCAGTCTAAGCCTATAGCAGCATAATTATAGAGATAGCTCAGGATAACCTGAGCCACATGTGAGAAGGAGGATTTTAAATTCTATTCTGGATTTAACAGGAAGTCAATAAAGAGAAGCCAGGATAGGAGAGATATGATCTCTCTTTTTTAATTTTCATCTGGCTGCAGCATTTTGGAACAGCTGAAGGCGTTTAACCACAGTTTGTGGAGATTTTATGTTCAGACGATCCCTAATAACCTATTTTATTTTATAGAACTCTGATGCATTTTTTGTTCCTCTCTACAGAACACCATCAGAAAATTGATGACTCAGAAAAGTTTTTTTTTTACACATGTGTAATGATCTTTTATTAGCAAACTCTCTGACAGAGTAAAGATGGCAGCAAGACAGAAAATATAAAATGTATTTTTCTTCTGCAATGAAATCAAGTATCCTCCTCTCCAGTGATATGGCTGAGTTCTTCTGTGAAGGGGAACCCAGACAAGAGTTCCAAGATGAGCAAAAACTTGCCTCTGTTAACATCTCCAGGATGGGTAACTGCATTTCCATATAAGGGACTGAAGGTGATCACCTCATCGTTCAGGAATTGCAGGTCACCCTGCCTCTAGTGCTGTCTAAACATCAACATTGTGATCTTTTTTAAAACTTACTCACTTCCTTTATGGTTCAAACTATTTTTACAGGAAGAAAACAAAAAACACAAACAACATAGCCCTGTTGCCCTGCTGATTGCTATATTTTTAGCAAAAAATTAGGAAGCTTTTCCAGATGGCTTATCCTTTAGACCTATTTTTCTTTATTTCACCATAATACTTCTTTTTATTACTCAGCCTCTGACACATTGAGCTGGGGTATGTCTCTTCCAGGCAGAGGTGTACAGGAAGCGCTGCTGAGGCTAGGGTGTCTCATCACTCCCTTATTTGCCAGACAGTCACTGTGGTGTTGGATGTAAACACTTTACTTTGCTTAATAATTCTTTGTGGATTTAGGCCAGATTGCTTTTATGTGAGGTGCCCTTTATCCATCAATAGAAAGTCTTTCTTCTGTGCTTGTCTTTCCAGATCACCTACAGGATTATGTTGAAAAAGAGGAGGTTTTCTCGGACCAGCAGCTCTGTGGACAGGAGGGTTTTTCCAGTTTGGACCAAGAGGAACCAGAACCTTGGCAGATGAAAGAAGAGCAGCAAAAGACAGAACATCCCTGGACAAAAGAGGAAACCATGGAGCTCCCCATAAGTGAGCAGGAAGAGCAGCTTGTTCTGACGCAGGAAACCGAAGATACAGGAGAGGAACTTTTTCCATGTTTGACATGTGGAGAAAAGTTTCTAAAAAAAGAACATTTAATGATTCACAAGAGAACTCACACAGGTCAGAAGATTTATGAATGTCTGTCCTGTGAAAAGAGCTTCTCTAATAAATGTAATCTTAAAAATCATATGCGAACTCACACAGGTGAGAAGCCATTTTGTTGCACAATTTGTGGCAAAAGTTTTACTGTAAAAAGTAGTATGACTGAACACATGAGAATTCACACTGGTGAGAAGCCTTTTGAATGTCTGTCCTGTGGGAAACGTTTCACTAAGAAATCTAATCTTCATATACACATCCGAACTCACAAAGGCGAGAAGCCATTTTCTTGTACGATTTGTGGCAAAAGTTTTACTTTGAAAAGCAGTTTGACTACTCACATAAGAATTCACACAGGTGAGAAACCTTTTACATGTCTGTCATGTGGAAAAGGCTTCACCTTAAAACATGCTCTTAAAAAACACATTAGGATTCACACAGGTGAGAAGCCTTTTTACTGTATTATATGTAACAAGAATTTTATTGAAAAGCGTAGTTTGGCTTCTCACATGAGACTTCACACAGGTGAGAAGCCTTTTGAATGTATGTCCTGTGGAAAAAGCTTCATTCAGAAATCTTATCTTGACAGACACACCCAACTTCACAAAGGTGAAAAGCCATTTTTGTGTACAATTTGTGGCAAAAGATTTACTGTAAAAAATAGTGTGACTGAACACATAAAAACCCACACAGGTGAGAAGCCTTTCAAATGTCTGTCCTGTGGAAAAAGCTTCACTCAAAAGTATCATCTTTATATACACATCCGAACTCACACAGGTGAGAAGCCATTTTCTTGTACGATTTGTGGGAAAAGTTTTGTGGTAAAAAGTCGTTTGACTAGACACATAAGAACCCACACTAGCGAGAAGCCTTTTACAAGTCCTGTTGAAAAGGCTTGACTTTAAAATTTGCTCTCAAAAAAACACATCAAAGGGGAGAAGCCATTCTCCTGTAATACTTGTGGCAAAAATGTTACTAAAAAATTTTGTTTGACTGAACACATGAACACAACTAATTATCTTAAAATTGAAGATTTATTATTCCACATATGTAAGAGCAGTTAAAAGCCACAGGAATATACATGAGAGGCCTTTTCCTTGTTTGACCTGCGAAATGTAATCTTTGTTTCCATTCAACTTACATGTGAATTTTAAGCAAACTTACAAAGTTAGAAAAAAAAGGCAATGCCAATAAGCTGTTTCTATTTGGTTTGAAACAAATTAAACAACCACCATAAAGACTACTGTCCGTGTTATGCAACCACCAACACGAAATAGCAGTGTTGCTTCTAGCCATGTTTACACACATATAAGGAACATCCAGCTGATCAGTAATTTGAGGTCCAAGTTTGCTCTGTCAGAGTTGATTTAAAAAACTGTTTCCATGTCCTGTTTTGCACATTAACCCCTTCATAAAAACCCTAAACCAACTTAAGCGAGTGTAAAAAAAAAAATGTCGGTGAATTTAAGGGAATGTATTTGAACTTTGCCTTTTCCACCAAGTCTTCAAATGCGCTGTTGTGCAATCTTACCAACAGATTAGGAAGATATTGAGAACTAAACTGGAAGTTATAATTAATATATTTTCAGTCAACGCTAAACCAAATAATAATTGTTAGTTAAATTATTATAACTGGAATCTGCTTACTCACCAAGGTGCATTAGTCTTCTTACCTTTAAGATTGGATACCTGGCAGGTGTTAACATCCAGTTATTGCCAACCAGGGAAAATTATCCCTTTTTCTTCAGGTGTTAACCAAAAGGGCGGATCTGGCTCTCAGAGATAAATCGGTCATTAAGAATGCACTGAAAATTCAGACATGATGTCTGTCTCACCCTTTCAGACACAAGTTTCGGACAAAGAGGACAGTGCAAGGTGTACAGTATTTTTAAGTGTGTAATGGTGTCAGTAGGGTGGGCTTGCTTATGTCATAGAGGACATTTGATCCATAGCAATGCTATAAAGACCAGAAATGGAATCCCAGAATTCAACGCGGAGCAATGAGAGACATTTAGGCCCCGTCCGCATGAAGCCAAACCCTGGCCTAAACGCACAAATTTTTCACCAAACCAGCCTCTCATCCATACGAAGCCGGCGTTTCGGGGGTCTGTAAACGATCTTTTTTTTATTCAGCCTTCAGAGTGGGAAGATTTTGAAACGGCATTTTCGCGTTTCCATCTTTAAGCTCTAACCGCATTTTTTTTCTTACACGCATGCGTCATAGCGTCGCCTCCAAACACGCATGTGCGACACAGTATCACAACAACAATGGCGCCGTACTGTGTTGAATGGTTGCTGCTCATGCTACTCACCCTGCTGTCGGGCTTACAACAGAATCTTCTTCTTCTGGAATATCTCCAGGAAGAACAGAGCAATATGTCAATATCGATGACATAGTTCAGCACCTGAATTTGACTGACCCACGAAAATGGACCCGCAGGTCAACCATGTATAAATATTAGTGCGCATGCCCAACATTTCGTCGCCTATTTTTGCTTTGGCACCACAGCGCCACTTACAGGCCTTGCATACATTTTGCAGCGTTGTCATGCATTCGTGTGGACGATCACATTTATTTTACGTCTCCGTCTTTACGACAAACGTTCTGGAAAATATTAGCGTTTCGTGTTCGTTTTGACTTCATGTGGACGGGGCCTTAAACAGTTTACTGGAATCTGAGAATATCAGTACTGTCAACACTTGTGACTGGTCTGAGAGGTGGTTATATGGTAAGGTGAGCAGGTAAATCTGATGATAAAACCAGCAGCAGTGCCAGGAATCATGACAAATGCATTAAAAAAAGTTGATAGAAACTCAACTAATATGCATCTAGAAACTCCTTCACCCCACAAGTTAAAGGTCTTTTCTTCCTAAGTTTTCAAGAAAGCCTTTTATTGACAACATAAACTATCGCTACTCTATATAAATGTTTGTTTTATTGCATTATTTTCTGTGGTGGATGTTTCCTATTAAAATAATTTTATACTAGATTGATGTTCTGAGAAGAAATAAAAGCCTAATGGCTTCTAAAAAAATATTTGATTTCATATAAGTCACAAATCCTCTTTTTCCATGTTTTCTATGATATTTTCAGACAACCTAAAGCTGTAATAAAAATGTTTAATATTATTAAAATGTTCAGATGGTGATTAAGGAACTATTCTGCAGTTTTTCTTTGTTGTCATTGCTTGGTGACTTTAATTATTTCATATTTAGTTTAAACAGATGAGTTTCTACATGTTAGTTCTTAGAGGAAAAGTTGAAGCTGGCAGGTGTGACTTTAATAACAATCAGAATACAGGAAGGGCCAATAAAACCCATGTTGAACCATCACTGTGTTCCTTTGGTATTTGGAGGTTGGAGTTTCTGAAATCCAAGCCAGGAACTCAATTTTAAAGTCCCCTGATCTAAGAATTACAGAAGCCCTGAAAGGCAAGAGAAAAAAAATCTGGAAAAGAAAAAATTTTCAGGCTTTTTTTTTATATATATATTTTTGTTTCTCTCTGCCCTGAAAGGTGAGTAAAGAATGTTATGAGCAATAGAGAATTACTTTTGGGTATGAGCCAGAATATTTGTAGGACACCATAAGTGCTCTTAGGATCAAGACTGTATTTCCCAGATAATCTTAGACTTGCTGTCAGTCAATGCTTATCATAACTTGTTTGTCTAAATAAATTTAGTCTAAGATAGTATTAAAGGCTGCATTTAAGCTTCACCTCCAATGTCAACATGGATGTTAAAATCCCCTACTATGATGCCATTGTCAGTATTTAAGATTAAATCAGATAAGAAGTCTGAAAACTGATCTAAAAATTGAGAGAAAGGACCTGGTGGATGAAGCAAACATACAAACAGAACAGGTTCTTCTGCTCTATGAATGGGTGGGGGAAACTAAGGGTTAAATGAATTGGGTTAAATGAAAGGAATTGTAACTAATTTTAGACAAATCAATAAGTCAGACTGACACACTGTTACTACACTTGCTCTCAAAGTTTCTGGGTAAATGAAACCTTAAATAGGTGGAGGGAGTTGTGTCATTTATGCTAACAAATCCTCTTGTTGCAGTCAGGTTTCTGTGAGAAAAGATACATTTATCAAGGCATTTACTAATAAAATTTTAAAGAGAAAAATCTTATGTTAAACAAAAAAATAATAATAATTTGTAGATAATCTACCACGTGAAGCAGCAGAGGGTCAGCCTTCTTTGCTGCAACTGAATTTCATGGTGCTACCTTCACCATGTTGTCATTAAACTGGGGTGGATGGATATAAATAGTGGTTTGATGAATGAAGGTTTGTAGTCCTTTCAGATGTTGCACTATGAAGTTGTAGATGTTACAGCTGCAGGTGCTTTTTATCTAATGGCTCGGTGTTTGTATCATCAGGGCCTGAAACAATCCACAGTACACAGAACCTTGAGATGACAGGCAGCATCAGGGCTCTGTTTTCTCCACTATTTCATCGCCTTTATTAACTTTGGGAGAAATGATCATTGCTGTCATCAAACTGTCCAACCTGAAGACTTACTTTACAATAAAAAATGTTATAGTTTGTGAATCGTTTCTGAGCTTAAAAAGGAACTAACTTCATCTTATATTTGTTCAATAGAATCCAGATGATCGTGGGTGGAGCTTAATTTGATTTTGTTTCTAGGTCCTTTGAAATCTGTGACATTATAGCTCCAATTATTACACTTCTAGTTCCTTTGTGGAGAAGCTCTTTGCTTAAATGTATCTCAGGAATTGGTTGGGAACTGAACTTTAAAGAAAAAAGACCAGTTCATTCAGTCATTCCTCAAAGAATTTTTCTTTTGGAAAAGAAAACACTAAATCTTTGAACAATGGAGCGTGTCACCAGATGTTCACCTGTGGAAGGAAAAAATGTTGATAAAAACACTTGGCTCTTTTCAGGATGCCAAAATAGAAGTTCCGTACTGTCTTAGCCTCCAAAGACAAGAATATCTTAGCACTTCAAAAAGAAAACGCCACTTTATCAGAACAAATGCTGAGGCTTGCTGCTGAGTGTCATGAAATGAAGGCAACTGGTTTACGCAGCACCGGTCCAAGATCAGGACGACCAGGAGAAGAAGGGACTTAAGTGAAGAAGTTCAGTAACTGACACAGATTATAAAGAAGCAGCAAAGTGATCATGAAGCTGCAGCTCTGGTTGGTGAGAGGAAAAACAAAGACAAAAGCCATCGAGATGCCATCAGAAAAGCCAACCAGATGATTTATTAGTGTTGCGCTGATGCCATTTTATGGCCCCAATACCCAAACCTGGCTGTTCAGTATTGGCTGATACTGATACCATACCGATACCATCTGTTTGAAATTGATGTGTGTATATATGAAGAACTGCATACTATTTGGATGTAAAATAATTGCCAAGATGGTTTTGTCAAGCTGCTGCCTACCTTTGTGAAGCAGGAAAAAGACTAATACAAAGTGAATCCAGTAGAACTCTAGAACCCTATTTGTCTGTAATCGCTGACACCGATACCACCATTTTAGTGCGGTATTGGGCCCCCTGTCTGATACTGGTATTTGTATCGGTGCAACACTAGTATTTATGCTTGTGAGGAACAACATAACAAAGAAAATGGAGATCGGTTTAGCCAATTAGATGGATGAAACATATAAAGTAGAAGCTGCTCTGCAAAAAATGGAGAGAGATTTGGAGGAACAACAAAAGCAGGAAAGATGGTTTAGAGACGCAGACGGTTCTGCTAGAAGAGGAGGTGGCTGTTCTGTACAATGAGCTGATTGTGATGAACAAGGACCATCGAGCTGCCATGAAAAGGGCTGAACAGCTGAAAAAAACCCCGACTAAAGAGAGAAACAGAGCAAAAAAGACTGAGGAGAGCTTGTCTAAGCTAGAGCAGGAAACCTGTGAAATAAAGGCTACTTTGGTCAAACTGTAGCATAAGACATGGAGAACCAAAGACTACTCTGGAGCCAAAAGAATGCCAGGCTGCTGACAGAGCAGCAGGAATCTGTCAAAAAAAAGCCCACAAAGGCCCTGGAAGACATAAAGAAAGGAGAAGAAAACATCAACAGAGAGTCTGATGGAAAAATGGAGGTTCTGCAGCAGAAGATGGAGAAAGAGCAACAGAGAAAAGCCAAATAAAAAAGCCACTCTGCAGAATCTGTTATTTCAATCTCTAACGTTATGCTCTTTCCACTTTTTCTCACAGCAGCTTCATCTGGTCTATTTCTGTTTGGCTGTGACTCCATCCTGGAGAGGAATATCAGCTGTGCTGCTGCCATCAATACCTTTGTTTATAGATGTTCGAGATTGGCCTGTTTTTTCATTGCAGTCCTATTTCTCTGACTGTGACTGGCTGGATGTGCTCTCTTTATCCTCTGACATGTGTTGTGAATTAGCACTATATAAATAAACTGAATTGAATTGAAATCTAAAATGAATAGAATGCAATATGTAAGAGAGATTATTGTTTTTGTTCTTTTCTTCTGGGGTTGAAGTGTTTAACAGGAGTGATGTGAGAGTGTGGCTGTGGAGGTGGGTTCATAGGGGGGATCATCCTAACCT